GGGGGGCCAAACTCAAATATTAAAACCCTAGGGACAAGGGCCCCGGGGGGGCCATTTAAAGGTCATGTGCTTGGAAAGGGCGGGGCCAACTCAATATTAAAACCCCCTACGGACAAAAGACGGGGGGGCCCAAATTAAAGGCCCATGTGCTTGGAAAAGGCCCGGGCCCGGCCCCAAATTTTGGGAACCCTACGGACTAAGCCCTGGGGGGCCTTTAAAAGGGCATGTTGGGGGAAAGGGCGGGGGCCAAACCTCAAAAAATTAAACCCCAACGGATTTAAGACGGGGGGGCCAAAAAGGGGCATGGGGTTTGGAAAAGGGCCGGGGGGCCCCAAAAATTGAACCCTACAGACAAAAGACTGGGGGGCCATTAAAGGCATGTGTTGGAAAGCCGGGGGCCCCAAAATATTGAACCCTTTCGGGACAAAAAAAAAAACGGGGGGCCAATTAAAGGTCTTTGGTTTTGGAAAAAGGCCGGCGGCCCAATTTTGGGAACCCCTTACGGGACAAGACGGGGGGGGCCATTGAATTTTCCCAATTTCCCCGGTAATATTTAAAATAAAATTTGAAATTTGACTCCAGCGGAACTTTAGACGGGCATAGAGGTCTGTTGGGGCTGGTCTTACTGTTTTTTGCAACCCAAATTTCAGCCAATCACAGAGGGCCCCTGGGGGCCCTTTTTGTTTCCCCCCCCCAAAAAAAGGGAAAAACTTTTTTAAAGGGATTCCGGGGCCCCCAGGGGGGAAGGGGTTTTTCTTTTTTTAACCCTACACTAGTGGCCGGCTCTTTTTTAAAGAAGGTGGAGGTAATTAAAAAACCCAGGAAGACGCCCACCCAAATTGTCCCGATTTTCCCCGGGGGGCCATTTGCCCCTTTGCCGGACTTTAAAAAAACAGCTTTTTTTTAAAATTTTGCCTACGGTATATTTCGGCCCCGGGAAAACACGCCAGGGACTTTCCCCCTTTTAGGCTCTTCTCCCAAACCCCTTTTTTTGGGGCGGTTGTTTCTGGGGGAATCCCACGACAAAAGGGGGGAAGGCGGGGAGTGACATTTCGACATTGAGGGTTTTGGCCAAACCTTTCCGGGCGGGGGTCCTAAAGGGTTTAATTAAATTTTGTTTGGGGGAAGGGGTTTGATTTTGTTCCCTTTTCTTCCCTTTTTTTTTTAAGAAAACCGACGCCGAGACGTTTTTAATAAATTTTTCCTGAAAACTTAAACCACTTCATTGGCCTTTCCTTGAAAAGGGGGGAAATCGCCCCCGGCAGGGGCCCTGGCCTGGGGGCTTTTAAATTTTTTTTATTTATGTCGGGCAGACTAAAAACTTCAGGGGTTTCTCTGGGCAGGGCCCCCGGGATCGCTGTTTGTTTTTGGGCAAGACAATTTTACCACGGGGGTTTTAAAACCCCAGTTTGGGGCCGAGGGGGGTTTGCTTTTGGGGGCCGGGGCTGAAGACTATGGGATTCACTAGGGGCGCTTTTAGGGGGCCCGGGGCCCCGGGGAAGCCCTATGGGGAATTTATTAGGGGGCGTTTGTAGGGGGCCCGGGGGCCTTTTGAAGGGACTAGGGGAAAGGGCCCACTGGGGGGCGCTGTGGGTGGGCCGAGGCTGAAGACTTTGGGAATCCCCCTAGGGGGCACTGTTATTGGGGGCTGAAAAACTAGGGGAAGTCCCTTTTAGGGGGCCTTATTGGGGCTGGGGTTTGGAAAGGATTTATGGGAAAGCCACTAGGGGGCCCCCTTGTAGGGGGCCGGGGCCCTGAAGCCCAAGGGAAAATCATTGGGAGGCCCTGTATTGGGGCCGGGGGTAAAGGGACTAGGGGAAGTCACTGGGGGCGTTTGGAAAGGGGGCCCGGGGCTGAAGATTTTGGGGGAAGTCATTTTAGGGGGCGTTTGTAGTGGGCCGGGGGGCCGGAAAAATATGGGAATTTACTAGGGGGCGCGGGTTTTTGGGGGGTGAAAGATAGGGGAAAGCCACGGGGGGGAACTGTATTGGCCGGGGGTTTTGAAAAAAACTTTTGGGAAGTATTGGGGGGCCCCTTGTATTGGGGTGGGGCTAAAAAGATTTATGGGAAGTCACTAGGGGGCGCTGTATTGGGGTCGGGGCTGAAGACCTATGGGAAGTCACTAGATGGCACTGTATTGGGGCTGACACTATGGGAAGCCACTGTGGGCGCTGTCAGGGGGCCGGGGCTGAAGACTATGGGAAGTCACTAGGGGCGCTGTTTTTGGGGGCCAGGGCGAAGACTATGGGAAGTCACTGGGGGGCGCTGTAGTGGGCCGGGCTGAAGACAAATGGAAGTCACTAGGGGGTGCTGTATTGGGGCTGAAGACTATGGGAAGCCACTAGGGGGTGCTGTAGTGGGCCGGGGCTGAAGACTATGGGAAGCACTAGGGGGCGCTGTAGTGGGCTGGGGTTGAAGACTATGGGAAATTCAGCAGGGGGCACTGTAGTGGGCCGGGCTGAAGACTAGGGAAGTCATTAGGAGGCGCTGTAGGGGGCCCGGGGGCTGAAGACTATGGGAAGTCACTGGGGGGCGCTGTATTGGGGTCGGGGCTGAAGACTAGGGGAAGTCACTAGATGGCACTGTATTGGGGCTGACGACTATGGGAAGCCACTAGTGGGCGCTGTAGTGGGCCGGGGCTGAAGACTATGGGAAGTCACTAGGGGGCGCTGAAATTGGGGCCGGGGCAGAAGACTATGGAAGGTCACTAGGGGGCGCTGTAGGGGGCCGGGGCTGAGACTAGGGGAAGTCACTGGGGGGTGCTGTATTGGGGCTGAAAACTAGGGGAAGCCACTAGGGGGTGCTGTAGTGGGCTGGGGTTTTGAAGAACTATGGGAAGTCAGCAGGGGGCACTGTAGTTGGGCCGGGCTGAAGACTAGGGGAAAGTCCTTAGGAGGCGCTGTAGTGGGCCGGGCAGAAACTATGGGAAGTCACTAGGGGGCGCTGTTTTGGGGGCCCGGGGCTGAAGACTATGGGAAGTCACTGGGGGGCGCTTAGGGGGCCCGGGGGTGAAGACTATGGGAAGTCACTAGGGGCGCTGTGTGGGCTGGGTTGAAGACTATGGGAAGTCAGCAGGGCACTGTAGTGGGCCGGGGCTGAAGACTATGGAAGTCACTAGGGGGCGCTGTATTGTGGTCGGGGCTGAAGACTATGGGAAGTCACTAGGGGGCGCTGTATTGGGCCGGGGCGAAAGCTATGGGAAGTCACTAGGGGGCGCTGTAGTGGGCCGGGGCTGAAGACTATGGGAAGTCACTAGGGGGCGCTGTATTGGGCCGGGGGCAGAGATGGCGCTGAGGAGTACAGGGGGGGATAAACTGAGACTAAAGATGTCTAAAAAAGGTTCACTCCACCCTCACAGCACCTTATCCAGTCCCGCGATCTGATTGGCCGGTTTGCCCGTTCGCCAGCTCAGCTACAGATTAGGGAGTTTTCACTTGATGTGATTGTTCCAAAATGTGGAAGTTTTGGGGGACATGCTGCCATTTCCACTGCATTGGAGTCCAAAAGGACAGAAGACATTCTGTTCATCAGAGACCCCCATACATCAGACTGTTCATCAGAGTCCCTCTTTCATCAGAGACCCCATACATCAGACTGTTCATCAGAGTCCCCTTACATCAGAGACCCCCATACCATCAGGATCTGTTCTTCAGAGTCCTCTCAACTTGACTAGAGACCACCTATACATCAGACCTGTTCATCAGCGTCCCCTTATATTTCAGAGGACCCCCATACATCAGGAACTATTCATCACAAGTCCCCCTACATCAAGAGAGCCCCCAATACATTCAGACTGTATCTTCAGAGTCCCCCTACATCAGAACCCGTACATTCAGGGTGCCCATCTAGACTCCCCCTACATCAAGCAACCCTACCATCAGGTTCTAGATCAGAGTCCCCTAAATACAGAAACCCCTTACATCAGGTTCCTATCAGAGTCCACCTCTACATCAGCAGTTCCCCATACTCATCAGGTTTTTCATCAGAGTCCTTCTACATCAGAGGACCCTTACTTTCAGGGTCCCATAAAGCTTCCCTTAATCTGGTTTCCAAGTGTGGAGAGTCCACCAACACCAAAGTCCACCTTTACCACTCAGGATTCTCCATCCTGAAGCCACTGTTTACATTACGACATTCACTCGTTCAGAGTCTCCCTTACTTCAGAAGACCTCATCAGAGGCCTCTCCTTTAAATTCAGGGTCCCCATCAAGTCGCCCTAAAGAAAAGAGACTCCCTTACATCAGGGTTCTCACATCAAAGTGTACCGCTTACATCAGGGTCCTGATCTTGAAGTTCCCCCCTTAAAATACAGCTTCCCCTAACAGAGTCCCCCTAACAACAGAGACCCCTTACATCTGGGGTCCCCATCAGATTCCCCCCCCCCTTAAATCAGGGTCCTTATCAGAGTCACCCCCTAAAGTCTATGGGGGGGGGGGGGCAGCCGCAGGGAAGAGACATCCTTACATCAGGTTCCCTATCAGTTTCCCTATACATAAGAGACCCCTTTACATCTGGTTCTAGCCCAACAGAGTTCCTCCCCTAACATAAGAGACCCACCTGACATCAGGGTCCCCCATCAGAGTCCCCCCTTAAATCAGGGCCACTTATCAGTGTACCCCACTAAGTAAAGTCAGAGAATCCTTACTTCAGGTTCCCTATTAAGATTCACCGAATACATAAGAGACCCATTTACATCAGGGACCACCAATCCGAGCACACCTACATCAGAGGGGGGACCCTGTCATCGCAGAGTCTCTATTCAGAGCGACCACACTTACATTAGGGTCCCAACAGTTTTACATCAGATTCTCCATCAGAGCCCCCTTACATTACATTCCCCATCCCCTCATCAGAGACCCCCCTTATATCAGGTTCCCCAATCTGCGTCTTTTCCTCATAATTAGGGTCCCCATCAGAATCCCCCCTTAACAATCAGAACCCCATTCCTTACCTCAGGGTCCCGCCGAATCAGAGTCGTGACCTATCCTATCCGGATCCCTCATCTGAAGGCCACACCAAGTTTGGAGAGAGCTTTGGCTATTGACTCTGCAAACAGTTGCGCGACTTCTGCGCACTGTGCGCTTCAGCATGCGCTGACCCCAGTGCCCTGTCATGTGTCGTGGCCTACCACTTGGTGGTTGAGTGGCTGTTGTTCCCCCCAGTTGCTTCCACTTTGTTATAATCCCACTAACAGTTGAGCGTGGAATATTTAGTACCAGGAAATGTCACGGATGGACTTATTGCCCAGGGGGCCACCTATCACGGGACCACGCTTGGAGTCACTGAGCTCCTGAGAGCGACCCATTCTTTCACCAATGTTTGTAGAAGCCGTCTGCATGCCTAGGGGCTTGATTGTATACACCCTGTGTCCATGGAGGGGATTGGAACACCTGAATCACATGATTGGAAGGGGAGATTGGAACAACTGAATCACATCATATGATATGGACACACCTGAATCCAACATGATAGGGGATTGGAACACCTGAATACACATGATATGGAGGGGATTGGAACACCTGAATCACATGATATGTGGAGGGGCGATTGGAGCACCTGAATCACATGATTGGGCAGGGGTATTAGAACACTGAATCACAGAACTGATAGGGAGAGGATTGGAACACCTGAATCGACATGAGAGGTGAGGGATTGGAACACCTGAATCACATGATTGGGAGGGATAGGAACACCTAAATCACATGATATGGAGGGGATTGGAGCACCTGAATCACATGATTGGAGAGGATTGGAACACCTAAATCACATGAATGGAGGGATTGGAGCACCTAAATCACATGATATGGAGGGGATTGGAGGGCACCTGAATCACAATGATGAGGGGATTAGAGCACCTGAATCACATGATTGGGGAGGATTGGAACACCTGAATCACATGATAGGGAGGGGATTGGAACACCTGAATCACAAGATTTGGAGGGGATTGGAACACCTGAATCCCATGATATGGAGGGGATTGGAACACCTGAATCACATGATTGGGAGGGGATTGGAACACCTGAATCACATGATTGGGAGAGGATTGGAACACCTGAATCACATGATATGGAGGGGATTGGAACACCTGAATCATATGATATGGAGGGTATTGGAAACACCTGAATCACATGATTGGGAGGGGATTGGAACACCTGAATCACATGATTGGGAGGGGATTGGAGCACCTGAATCACATGATTTGGTGGGCGGGGGGACAATACTTTTGGCAATGTAGTGTAGATAGACAGACAGACAGACAGACAGACAGATAGATGGGCAGCACAGTGGCTAAACGGTTAGCACTTCCTTTTGGCAGTACTCGGGTCATTGGTTCGAATTCCAGTCATGAGACCACCTGCCTGGAGTTTGCATGTTCTCCCTGTGCCTGCGTGGGTTTCCTCCAGGTAATCCCAGTTTCCTCCCACACTCCAAAGACAGGCTGGTAGGTGAATTGGTTCCTGTCCAAATTGGCCCTAGTATGTATATGAATGTGAGTTAGGGACCTTAGATTGTACGCTCCTCGGGGGCGGGGACTGATGTGAATGTACAATATATATATAAAGTGCTGCGTAAATTGATGGCGCTATATAAGTACCTGAAATAAATAAATAAAAATAGATTGATCAATAGACAGATAGTTTCCATAGCTCCATCTCCCAGTATATTCGCTCAATACTTTTAATTTGAATCATTTTCGGTGTCTAGGTGGACTCGGCTGCGTAATCCTATCACTGTGACAAACACATTGTTACCTTTTTGAATGCTAATTCACATTTCTGCCCCAGAATTCCCATTTACATGACAATATCAGCAATTTGCATTAATATGAAAAAAAAAAGAAACAAAAAAAAGAGCAATTACAATAAATTGTGGAAACAGGAAAATAAAACAAGGAAGTGTTTTGTCTTCATTGGCTCTGACTGATGCACAGCAGGAAAGTCGCAGCTTGCAGTGGTGGGAGGAAATCTCCTATTATGGGGATGGTATACAGGGATGCCTTTGCTGTAGAAGGTTTTTATTTTGCGGTTTCTTGTTTATTTTCGGTTCTAAATTGTGTCGACAAATCTAAATCGGAAGTTCCCGCGAGTGAATATACCAGTTATGATTTACAGGGAAAAAAAAAAAAGAATTTACTGCTCTCACAGCTAAAAGCCACTCAAAACGGAGTTCTTCGATGAATCTGTTTTTCCGCATGAATGTCAAAGTTCCATCGTAGGCTGGCCATACATTATACAACTTTCTTGTTGAATTTCCTTTAGATTTACCCTCTGCTCTGTAGTGCAGGGGCCGGCCTGACTGCATGCAAACTGAAAGTGTTTTAGGTTTCATTCTCATAGTTTATGGTTTTAGTAAATCTAAAGGAAAATTGTTGATGATGTATGGTGTCTTGGAAATTCGCTTTAACGAATTTCTCCTTACCGTGAGTACTCGCAGTTGGATGCGCAGAAAATCCCCCCCATAAAGCTGTACGAATCTCGCTTACCACGACTGCAGCTAAACTACACGATTCCTGCCCATCCAAATGGGTTAGCTCTGTTGAAATGTGGGTGATTGGAGCTCCTATACCTGGAAATGATCACACGACACCTTCAGGTTGATGGTTGAATTCACATAAGGGCAATTTTCATTCTCCCCTTTGGTTTTATTACAAATACACACACGCCCCCCCCCCCCACATGAATAAGGTCAAACCCCTCCCACAGAACAAAGCAATGGGGAGTGCCTATACACAGGATGTACATTCCGATTGGAGCATAGCCTTTTCTATTATCTGTCACTGGTCTTCCCCCATGAGCCTTCTGAGGTCAGCAGACTTCCTCCCCTTCCCATGAGCCTCTGTGGAGAGCATATCTCCTCCCCTTACTCCCATTCCATGAGCCCTCTGTGGAGAGCATATTTTCCAGCTCCTAGCAGTATGTCCATTCTCCATACAAGCGTTCCCTAGAAATATCAGTCTGTACCTGGATGGGCCCGATACGATCTTTATTAAAACACATCCATCCAGATACAGTTCAGGTTGGTAATGGGTTGTAAGATATGCATAAGCCTACACGTGGAGTTCACACCGCTTGGCGCCTTGCGTTATGAAGTCCATGTGGTACTATGCTGCTGATATGTGGATACAGGCCCGCGGTCTACTGACAGCGGCATTCGCATCGAATGCCGTGGTGGTATACACGCCGGTCTATAAGCGCAGATCTGCCATCTCATCCGTTACCGAGCTGAGTACTGTAATACATACATTGTACATGCGCATGGCCCAATTGCAGCCTTCAGAGCTTTAATTAAGCCACACGAGAGACATATGAATAACACTCCATATATGACACATTTAAAGTTCGACCAACAATACAAAATTTCCATGACATTCCCTCCTGTTTTATCATATTCTCCTTGTGTCCCTTCTTGATCTTCTTCAGCTTGATGGGTGTAGTCTCAAAACCTCAAAGAGTTCCTGTAGTTGTCCCTGAGAATAAAGCTCCACGGGGTACCTGAAACAACAAGACCCGACGCAGACTCGACGCAAACAGGCTTGATTGAAGCAATGATCCTCAAGAGCGTTGGAACCTTCACTACAGGAGGCTCTTGTAAAAACCAAAAACAGACTTGTGGTATGAATAAGGCTTGTGATCCCACGGTGGTCTGGGGAGGTCCAGCAGCAGATTCTCAAATTGCCCCTGCAGACGGGGCCACACAAGGCTGGTCTCGACCCAGACAGTTTTCCAAATCGCAGACACAAACCATGATGAGGCTTGAAGCTTGCTTGGAGGTCTTGGAGAATGTGGTCTTCAGGGAGATAAATTAGAGGGAAGCCAGGACGTAATCTGAGAGAAGGTGGTTGGTTGGTGAGGTCTTCCTCCGATCAGTGGTTGGAGTGGGATCCCAGGAGTGGGCATGGAGATGTGGCCATCTGCCCGAGCTTGGCTTACACGGTCGATGAGGCAACAGGAACATCCCACCGCGGCATATAAGAGGCAGAGGAAAAAGAGAAGCATCAGGACATACACTCCCACTTCCTTCAACCAAGATCCGATGGAGAACAGGAGATCTCCCAATCCTCCCAAACCCTTGAACGGATTCCAACCCTCACTAGCTATAGCTCTAGCTTTTCCCTGTAGTTCACTAACTTTGTCCATATGGGCCTGGACCTTGTCATCGGTGTCTTCTATCCAAGTACAACAATCCTCTCCGATGAACTCACAGAACCCCCCTTTGGCGGCTAAAAGATGAATCAAGGGCCATCTTCTCCTGAAGCACACTAAAATTCCCATCTGCCGTTGTTCTTGGGCAATTTCTCTGACAGCCTCTACGGTCTCGTTAAACATACTATCCACGATGACAGAAAAAATTGTTCAGGCGCTTCATAAGTTCTATTCCCCATCCTGCCCCAAGCCCATGCTTGGTCACCCTCAGAGAACAGCTCCCTGCGAACTCTCCCTGCCATCCTTACCTTCTTGTGGACCATCAACTCTTCATGATCCATCACTACATAGGATGCTGGGACTAGCTTTATGAGGGCACACGAACCTTTCGCGTTCTGGGGAAATGTTCTATAGGCTGCCAAACCACACAGAAAATAGTATGGACCTGTCAGAGCAGAGCAGGAGGAGTTCCTCGTTCGGCCTCTGGCACTGAGCAACAGTTGCACAGACTGGGGGATTGCTCCCTCAGTCTGCACATCACATCCGTCCTTCCAACACACGTGGTCTGGTCGGTCAGTGTGGTTACTCAGAAGGGAAGTCTGGTTAGTCAGATTGACAGTTATACCTCCCTCGCAGGTGGTAGTCCCAACAAACTTGTTACCTGTGCCAAAGACTGATGTTAAAGCACACCTGAGAGCTGCCTAGCTGTCCAGTTACGCCATAATGGACTGACGAGGGTCCACAGGAGCTAGAGCTAATATTGGTGCTAAAACTGATGTTACCTGCTAAAAAATGTGTCATTAAGTTTTACCGACAAATGTCTACGTGGGGGCTGACCAGGGGTCCCTTGCTTTTTCATGCCGACGCGGATGTCATATAGGGCATGAACAGCGGCCATTGCGGACATGTGATGACTGGGTGGGGGCTTAGAGCATACCCAACAGTTGGTTTTGTTGGCGGTTCTGGCTAAACGCAGATGCATTTTAAATAAAAGGTTGGGGTATCTGCCGTCTTTTTCCTCCGTTCGCACACATGTAAGACATACAAACAAAAAGAAAAAGGAAAATGACACCCCTCATTCTCTGGTGTAGCTGAAAAGCTTCTTGCAGTGGCTTGCGTGCACCCAGTTGTCTCGTCCCTCGAGCTTGAGTGAGGTAGGTGTCGTCAGCTGGACTTGGTATGGTCCGGTGAACCGTGGCTCGAGTCCGGTTCTTTGATGTTTCTTTAGGACGACCCAATCACCTGGCTCAATAGAAAGAACACCTGTTATTGCATTTGGATCGGGGAGCGATTCGCGAACCCGATGGTGTATCTTCTGCAGCTCCCGTTGCAGAGATTGCACATAACTGTAAGCTGTGAATGCAAAGACGACAACTGTTGAGGAAAGTACAACCCTGTTTTGGGAGGTCCCCCAAAACAACACCTCGTAGGGTGACAGCCCATGTGGTTGCCGAGGGGCATTCCGGATGGAATAGGGGGCAATGGGGGGGACACTCAGGCCAAGGTTTTTGGGTATCGGCCATGATGTTGGAGATCCTGTTTTTAAGGATTCCGTTAAGACGTTCAACCTTTACCGCTACTCTCGGGGGTGATATGGGGTGTGTCGCCGCTGAC